CGGTGTATCTCAGCACCAGGCGCCGCGCAAGCGCGGGGTGGGGGGTGGGCGGGTTCCCGGTAAACCGCAGGTTGGGTGCCACAAATTCGCAAGTCATAATATACGTGGACCAGACAAAAAGGGAATGGACCAACCGTCATTCTCTCATTGGGCTATAGCCAGGTTTGTATTTGTTTTAGGGGACTCCCACAATGATGGGTTTCCTTTTGAAGTTCCTTTTAGAACCACAAACGAGTACCCTCAATGAAAGGCGTTCCTAGGAAAAATCCGAAAGATGGTTGTTGGTCCCTAAAGATGGCAACGGTGTCCCTTGAAAATCGTGAACAGGGAGGGGTCCTGTTTGAGAATCGCAAAAGCCACTGCGAAAGCCGAGACCAATCCGACCGTTTGGTTCCTTGAGCCATTTCTGGGTACCTGGGCAACGCTTTGAACGTCGGGCAAATGGACAGCCCCCGTTTCACCAAGTGGCCCTGACTTGAAGATATGTTTCCACCTTCAAGAACACATCGCGGAAAAAGGCGTGGTGTCTGGCTCTGAACCCTGGGCTGTTAGAAATCGGTTGGGGGTAGTTGCTTGCATGTAATTCGAAATACCGAGTCGTGGTTGCGGACCAGTTATCCAATCAGTTTGTTTGGAGGGCTGGCGTTTTTCCCCACGTGACCAATGCGCACATATACATACGCGGTTGCATCGAGAATTATGGGGAAAGAAACACTGATTTTAAGTTCGCCTTTCAGGCACCATTCTCCCCCCCCCTGATTTTTGAAACACTGGGCTTCATGTGTAAAACAGGTTGACAAGTGCTTGAACATCAGCTCAAACATGGTTTCCCAAACAGACGTACCACGGCAACGGTTGCAAGTTCACTTTCATGGGCTATGGCAGCTGGTTGTTTGCTCCAACAAATTTCACAACCCTAATTGTGTCCAAACACAGGGAGTTTCCACGAAAGGAAGTGCTGCAAGGCAGTTTGCTTATGGTTCCGTGGAAAATTATCCAAGCAACAAGCTCTCTATTCCTGAGACAGACCCGTAGGACTACTTAAAGGGCAACAGTTTAAGACCCCTTCACAAAACCAAGCCGAGCCCAGTCAGGCCCCAGACCGCCTGCGCTCACGTGGCCTTCCCGGGCCAGGTGGGTGCAGACCGCTGGGCACTGGAGCAGGCGGCGTGGGACAAATCAACCCCTAGATTTGAGTCTTTGACAGGAAGAAAGCCATCTTTTGGCTTGAGAAATGGCGCACCAAATATTTGGTTTAGGAATTTCCCCCCTACCGAAAAGGGACTCCAATGTGGCAGGTTCAGGGACAGCTGTGTTTCTGAGGGCCATTTTGGGGCTTAAAAGGAAGACAGAAGCCCATGGGTGGGTGCCCAAATCCGTTTGGCTCCTGGCAAACCCTCGGGTAAGCTCAGATTTAAGGGACAGTCCCTTGAATCGTTCAGCTTTTCCCTTCACTTGCCCAAAGCCGACCTTCTGACCTTTTAGTCTCCCCCTGTGTGGTCAGTTTTTCGTGACCCCAAAAGGTGATCGCCTTCTGCTTTTGGGTCCTCCTCATTGGTGGTTTGGCTTGGTGCTTTGGACCATACCGGACACCTTCCTTTGGTCTCAAAAGGAGCTGAGGGGTCAAATTCTTTGAGCACCAATCCAAATCACCAATCCAAACTAGCAGAAGGTTTGAACCACACGTGGGGCTTCAAAGTCTTTGACGCCATCCAAACCGGTTGAGGGGAACCCGAAGGTCTTGATTCCAGGTGTTCTGCTGCAAGCGCTTCGGGACCTACGCGGAGATCGGGGCGGCACACAGCTGGCGGATCAGCAACACCTACGCCATGGACGTCTTCCTCCAGTGGCAGGCCCGCTTTCGAAAGCGAGTTGTCTGAGCACCCGCAACCACTGCTATTTGGACAGTACTAAGGGGATTTGGACACAGGAAAACAGTTCTTGGGGGGGGGGGGGTTGAAGTGACCTCCTTGTGTCTTGGCAGGAGAGTTTCATAGTGTTCGTCTTTTTTGGTGCCCAAAGACTGCGGCAGAGCTCCTTGACTGGGCTGGCCTTGTCTTTTTTTGAGTCGATTCGTGGAAACTAGATGGGTTTGTACCGCAGCCTGGGTAGTGTTCTATGCTTGAGGTGTTGTTATTTTGACTTTCGCGAGATGACTTTCCGGGTAATCTACGGCAAGGTTTTGGCGCCCCAATTTCTATCTTCTGAATCTTCTGGTTCTGGGTTTGTTTTCCTGAGCATGTGGAGATCCTTGTTCCCGATTTTGTGAGGCACCCAGACGCATGGCTTGTGCCATTTAACTGCATGTCATTTGGAAAATGTGTGTGTGTGTGTGTAACAAGCACACCAAGCACTTTCCCATAGCATAGCAAAATATCTAACAAACCCAACCCCTTGTTCAGGCCCATAAAGCCCCAATCTAGACTCATAGTGCGCTAGATTTGGCCTTTGGAGAGCTTCACTGGCATGCGTCTAAGTTGTTTGGTTCTGCTTATTTTGAGTGCAAAGAGGCGGTGTTCACCACCATTCCCAGGATTGGATTGGGACGGAAAGTCGGTTGCTGCCTTGGCCGCCTCAGTTCGCTTGAAAGCCGCGTTATGAGCTCCTAGGGCTTCTGGGGCTTATCCAATGAAGCAAGATGAGGCGGCCAATTGTTGGCCAACCCAGGGAATCAGCCAGGCTAAAGTTTGCCTTGGAAAGAACCCTTTGCATCGGAGTTTTTCCCAGCGGTTCCCTTAGTTGGTGTTTTGGATTCGTGGTTTGGATTTGGATTTGCATGGTTCTTGTTGAGGGTAAATGGGTTTCTCCACTCTGGAACACCACTCCAAACCACCAACAAAGGGGGACAAGCTCTACCTCAAAAATGAGTGGGTTTTCCAGTTGCTTTCCCTTTAGACCCAAGAAAAAAACGGGGTACCTTAAAAAAGTTTGCCTCAGAACAAAAGGGGACCGCCACAGCCAGTTCCTTTCAGGGCGTTTGCGTGGACCCGGCCTTCGACGACCCTAGCGGCTTCGCCCAAACCCGCAGCTGTCGCCGCGTGGAGGCTGCCGCGTGGACGTCCTCAGGGGAGGAGCGGCGCTTCACACGGCCCGCGCGGCGGCAAGTGAGCAACGTGCAGTACGGCCACGGCTGGGTGGAGGGGGACAACCACTCGGAGGAGACAGGGAACCAAAAGGAAAACCCGCCCATGTGTTTTTGTTTTGTTTTTCTAGGGGGCGGGCATTTTAATAGACGCACCCAGTTGGGCCTTAGGTGCCACACACATGTGTGTCCTTCAGGAGATGCTGAAGGCCAGGCAGATGGAGTCCGAGCTGGGCAGCGCCGTGTGGCAGATGAAGACCCACCTGGTGCGCGCCATGACGGATGGCGGGTTCGGCGGCGTTGTGCGGCCGGTGTGTTTCGGTTCGCCGCCACTGAACAAAATGCGCGGGGGAAAAAAGGCACTTTGGATGTTTCTTGTTGTTCGTGGCGTAGGCCCGAAAAATGCGCGGGGAGAACAACTTTGGCGGTTTTCTAAAAATGGAGATCAAGGCTGAGTTCCTGGGAACTGGGCAAAGAAAAGTTGATGTCCCAACCTCCCAGCAATAAGAGGGTGTCCGAGCCATGTTCTGTTTTTTGGACGCACCGAAAGTGGCGATCATTTTTAAACGAAACTGGCAGGAAATTAGTCAACTTCGGGAGTGGAAATCCATTGACCCCTGATTAGAAGCCCACCTGATAAGTCAAAGGGCACATGCGGGGAACAAACCCCTCTTGTCGGTGTCTGATCGTTGGGTATTAAACCCAGGCACTGTCTCTCTTTCCCCGTGTTTGGGAGAGAGTTCCCGTTGAAATTAGCGAGCAAAATCAAGAGTGCCCCTGCCTTTTACATGGCGGGAGTCTGGGTAAGTGTGTGGCAACCAAATCTATTCTGTTGTCCGGTTGATCCACCCTTTGGTGCCAAATTGTTTTCAAATGGCTCCATTCAAGAGGAAGGTTTGACCCGGATGGCAAGGAATTGAACATGGTGTTCCGGAAAAAAAATATCTCGTGAGGCACCATCTCCCTGCGGGACGCGCTGAAACCTCTGGGCTCCGTGGATTTCCTGTCCATCGACATCGAGGGCCACGAGGACGAGGTGCTCGAGGCCTTCTTCGCCCAACCATCCGTCCGTATCGCCGCCATGGCCATCGAGGCGCCGTCTGTTCAAGGATACCGCTGTCTGGTTTGTTGTTTTTCCAGTTTGAAAAAGAAACTTAAAGCAAAGCCGAAGGCATCCAGTGCAAATTCATTCGGGTGTGTCTTTTTTGGGAGGGTGCGACTGTTTTGTTGTTTTAAACGGGAAACTAGAAAGAAAGCCGAAGCCATTTTGGGGTCTCCCCTAGAAAAAGGACAGACCCATTTGGGTTTGTCTCGAAACCGGGAACCCTCGAAACGAGCCTCGGTTTGTCCCTTAGTTTTCAACCCAAGGCTGCACTCCCTTATTTTGGAATTGACTCGGAAGTTCGTGCTCACTTGCCCCCAAAAATGGATTGGAGTTTCCTTGTGGTTTCCCTTTGAAGCCTTGGAACCCGAGAAGAAACAAAAGAAGAAACAAAAATCCAAGCGTGAATCACCGCTCGAGGTGAAGGAGCCGGAGAAGGCGAAGCGCATCGCCCGGCTGTTGGAGAGCCAGGGCTACGAGTTGGATGCGCGCAGTGGGGACGACGAGTTCTGGCTTCACTCGTCCGTTCAGCCCTGCAGAGATGGGCAGAGCCAAAAAAGGGAGGGAGGAGGGCCTGTGTTGCCAAAGCTGTTTTCTGACCTCCATTTTGTCTTGTGGTTTATGGGTTCAAGAAACAGCTTGGAGGTCGAAAAAGGCTAGGTCCCAAGAAAAGCGAGTGGAAGGGCGCGAAAGTGCTGACGTGGCCATTCCAAGGCTGACAAGTCCCACAACTTGTTCACCTTGCGCTTTCCTTGGTGCAAACGTGGCCCGTGAGTGGTTTGAGCGGCCTCCGTGTCCCGCTGTCTCCCGCTTGAGGTGCGGAGTCGCGCCGATGGATCGCCCAAAGGTGCGGAAGTTTGCCGGCGATGGCTTTGTTCGTTTTTCGTGGGCATCCTACATGGTTGCTTGTGACAAAGGAGCACTTGATGTGTTGCTGAGTTTCTTGGGCTGGTTTTTGGATGTGGGCCTGTTCCTGAACTGTTGGATGCAGAGACGGTTGCAAATTATGTCCTTGAAAGGGTCCCCAACTATGATTCATTCCCATTCCTGAGAGATGTTACCTGTATCAGCCCTGTCAGCAAGGTGGGTTTCGAGGTCGCCGTACTTGATTACATGACTGTTGCCCATCGCTACACTTCAAACGCACCGAATTGACAAGACAGCGCGAGCGCTCGCCAGTTCTCCCGAAGCTGCGACACGGGATTCTTGGACGAGGCTTGGGCTGAAGCAGTGGCTGATGTTTGAAAATGCATGTGTATGCCGATATATATATATATATGTGTATATATATATATATATATGGTACACCCCCCCCGCAAAAACCCAGGTTTTGGGAAGGGATGATTCAGCACACTGGGAAATTCTGCATAACAAGTTGCAAACACCCTGCAAACAATGCATGTGGTTTCCATGTATGCAGTGAACATACAACTTCAAACACATACATTTTACCTGCACCAAATGCATGTTTTTGTAGACACTAGAGATAAGACCCTGGAAAAAATGGTGTTTTTCCTATTTTGGTAGTAAAAATGAACAAATACAAAGTAACAGAGACCAAGAAAAGTAAAAAAATAAGTTATATTAAAAAAAAGAAAGTAAAATGTAAAACAGACTAGGGTTGTGTTACTCTATTTTGCGGTTTTACTTTTTTGCTTTTCATGGGTCCAGATATTTTTCTTTTTTGACTTTTTTTCTTTTTTACTGTTTTACGGGTTTTTATTCTTTTTACTGTTTTACTTCTTTTTGTTTAACTTTTTTACTTTGCTTGGTCTCTGTTACTTTGCATGTGTTCATTTTTACTACCAAAATAGAAAAACTGAACATCATTCTTCCAGGGTTTGTTTCTCTAGTGTGTACAAAAACACGCATTTGGTGCAGGTAAAATGTATGTGTTTGAAGTTTTATGCTCATTGCATAAATGGAAAACACATGCATGTTGCAGCTCTTAAAGGATCAAATTGGTCCAAACCAGCATGCCACCGTGGGGACAATGGTCCTGAGGTTCATGATTTGGTCTGCCCAATATGAGTATTGGCTGAGGAATCAGGACCTGTGGCTGGCGTCTGGTGATGTGTGCGCATGCGCGATGGCTAAGTTCATGCAAATCCCATAGCCGAGTAAATTGCGCAAGATGGCAGAAAACAAAGACCTGTGGTGCCTCCATGTCCTCATCTGTTCAACTAAAATGACACTTCCTCTCTGGCAATCCACTCTGACACAAATCCAGCCATTTGAAGAGTGATGAAACCAACTCGGTCCACTATCATAATGAACCTTGTGTGGCAACCCTTGCTGGCACAAATCCACTTGAAGAGTGATGAAACTCATCTATCAGGGCATTGGCTGTCTTCACTTCTGTTCAGCCTCATCATGCTAGTCAGGTGCCGGGACTTCCATCCAGACAAGCGCCCCGACAAACAGGCCGGTGCTCAATGATGCTTTGTCTTTGGCACCCCACTCAGACTTGGTACGAACGAGTTTGCAGTTTTTCAAATCCCAGTGATGAGCCGTCAAGAGGCCATGCTTTGGAGGCAGCACGTAGACTGGGCATGAAGCACGAACCTATGCTTGTCACAGAAGAGAGTCTCACTTCGTGGATCATCTCGATGAATAGCGATCCATATGACCTCGCTCACCTAGATCGGGGGAAATAACCTGAGCTCGAACAAAGCCAGGAATCACGCTTACCAGCTCACGAGAAAGCGGTAACATGCGCCTGCTAACTCCAAAGCGGCGATTCTTTGTGATCGTTTCCCCCGACATGACTGGGCCGAAGATTTCCATGGCCATCAAGTGTTTTTGTCCAGTTTCAGCATCTGCGGAAAAACGCGCTGGCAGGGGTACTTGGACTCCTTAGCGGCCAACAACAGCTCCAACACAGACTCCTGATCCGAACAATGCAATTTCTGCACGCCCTCTGGGCACACAAGTGCGCAGGCTACGGCCGCTGAGCGCTTGATTTGAATACCTAGGAAGCAGGCTTGCGTCTGGCAGTTTGCGCGTAACGGCCATTCATGGCCGTAGGTTTACTGTTGCAAAGGGTGACGGCTGCTGAAGAATTTTAGATTTCTTTCAAGCTGAACCTCTGGTTGGTCTCCAGCGTCCATCCAGCAGACCAGTGCTGGTTAGGGCATTCTTCGCAGCAGGAAGTGTACTGCCGTCAGGGCTCAAGAGTCAAGCCTCGCTCCAATAGCGCTGCTCGGGCAAGGTCGCCTCACCGAGAAGATCAACAACCTGGTCCGAGCGAGCAATTCGCATGGCGCTGCGAAGGGCAGAGCCCAACCGGTTGAGCCCCTAGCTTCTTGCGTTGCTTTGTGTCCGGCGTGCTCTTAAACCAGCCATGCAAGGTCAGAGGCGCGCGGCGCAAGCTCTGGACTGCTTGAAGCCTCCTGAAATTCCCTCTGCGTGCTGTGTGGGGCAGGAACAGGAGATTGGGCTGGAATCTGAGGTGAGGAAGGCAGAGCTTGAAGCGCAGAACGCGGTCTTGCTCGAGGAGCTCTCGCGAGCAGATGTTTGGCAACTTGTGAGCCGGATGAACGTTCTGGCCACTGGCGCAGGACACCCATGCTCACCCAGATGCGCCTTCTTCCGAGCGTGTCAGGGTGCAGAGCTTAAGCTCAGCGGGAAAACGCCCGACGAAATTTCCGGCTGCTTGCCTTTGAAGGCAGCACCAGCTTCTGCCTGGCGTATTTCGGCAGGCGTTGCAAGCCCTCTGCCTGCGCGAGCGTGCGTGTGTGACACGTGGGAGGCCGCAAACGCACGACGTTGGGCAGCCTGGAATGAGTGGCTTGCTCGCAATCAGTGAGCCTGGCGGTCTCAGGACCAGCTTTTGTAGCTGCTTGGCGTGGCTGGCTCTAATGAGCCCGGCCCAGGCAAGATTTAAGTAAGTTTCAGATGGTCCAAATTTGGGCTTTCCCCGGAAGATCACAGTGCTTGGTTGCCGTGATCTCGCAGAGCTTGTGAGCAGGCTCAGACGTTCCGTCTTTGCGCCACTTATCGGGCTGCCGTAAGAGAGGCTTGCCAAGCTCCAAGGAGTTGCTTACGAGTCACCCAGCGTCATCCTCTCACGCCCACGCGACAGTGAATTTGACATCACCCATACTGAGGGAATTGGGATGAAGTTTTATTGCTTCTTGAAGGCAACTTATTCAACGATAACTTGCCTGGCGCTGCGAGGCTGCGATATGAGAGAAGTAGCAACTCGCTGCTCGGGCAGGGCATGGGTAAACCCAAGAATGAGCAGGACAGGATTGCTTGCGTTTACATCTTGGGGCCTTCAGACGAGATGGCTGCCAGTGCCATCCTGCAGATGGCCTGCGTTGATGGTGCTGCCTGCAGCACTGCATCTGCTGGCTTGCTGGGAGACAGAACTTTTGCTGCGCAGCATCCCAGGAAGGTGAGTCAACTGCAGAAAACCAAGCACAACCAAAAATGCCCGCTATCATAATGAACCTTGTGTGGCAACCCTTGCTGGCACAAATCCACTTGAAGAATGATGAAACTCATCTATCACAGCATTGGCTGTCTTCACTTCTGTTCAGTCTCATCTGTTCAACTAAAAATGACACTTCGTCTCTGGCAATCCACTCTGACACAAATCCATTTGAAGAGCCCACCTGAAGAGTGATGAAACTCATCTATCAGGGCATTGGCTGTCTTGACTTCTGTTCAGCCTCATCTGTTCAACTAAAATGACACTTCCTCTCTGGCAATCCACTCTGACACAAATCCATTTGAAGAGTGATGAAACCAATCATATTGAACCTTGTGTGGCAACCCTTACTGGCACAAACCCACTTGAAGAATGATGAAACTCATCTATCAGGGCATTGGCTGTCTTCACTTCTCATCTGTTCAGCTAAAATGACACTTCCTCTCTGGCGATCCACTCTGACACAAATCCATTTGAAGAGTGGTGAAACCAACTCGGTCCACTATCCTTGTGTGGCAACCCTTGCTGGCACAAATCCACTTGAAGAGCGATGAAACCTAGGTTTTGGGGGTGATTGCATATATATATATACACACACACACCCCTGTCTCTGCAACTGACTGAAAAATATATGAACCATGTGTAGGAACATCTACTTTTGTCGTGAACCTCAGTTAGTGAACTGATGATTTGAAAATGTTGTTTTGTCTCTTTCCATCGGCAATATTATGAACGGATACTCTGGCCTCCCAGCACAACTGATTGCAAGGCAAAGAGCACCAGTTTCACTGTCCAGCGTTTGCATGCATGGGAGTGTGTGTGTGTGTGGGTGTGTGCGCGTTTGATTGGTGTGTGTGTGTGTGTTAGGCGCTGCCTAGCTTCAAACCCCTCGCTTTGCAGCTTGTTTGCACCTCCAGTTGGTGCAAATCTGAACACGCGACAGACGCATAGCTAGCAGTCACTGCATATGGCTCTCACATGTGCCGCGTTCCATGTTCCAGGCATCGCGCCTGGGCTTCAGCATGCGCCTCCGCTGCAAATGGCCAGTGCATTCGAAGCATTTAGGGGACTTACCATGGCTTCTGCGGGTAACCATCCAGAAGCCATGGTAAACCCACAGAAGCTATGGGTACGCACAGAAGCCACTTGCCACAGGAAAACGAACACTTTCCCCGCGAAACCGCGCTCCGAGCTCACGCCAAGGTTCCGCGCCGCGGCCTGAGTCGGACGGAGGGGTCAGGCGTGACCTGAGCTCCTACGCTGCGCTTGGAGTGGCGACGCCCGTCCGAGGCAACGCCATTGGCAAGCTGCACAACCGGCATGGATTCAAGAGGCCTTCCTGGCCGGAGCTGGTGTGCCAATCTATGACCTACTATGGAAATGAACCTCATCATCTTACATGTCTGCACGTGTTTTTCTGCGCATGGCGGGATGTTTGGGGGGTAGTGGAATCCCTTGTGGAGATAGGAGGAATGTGCAACAGTTTCATTTGCAGCTGACCTTTCTGGCATATGGGTCTGTGACATTGGGGTGACCCGGAAGGCGCAGACAGGGCTCAAGAGCCGAGGAACTCGCAGCAAAAGCGACGGCGCGTTGTATCTGTGGCCGCGGACTCTTGAGACCTTGCTGCTACGGTGGACTCAAGGACATTGAGACAGAATCCTTCCTTTTTTGGGTTCTGGTTTCCCTTTTAGATCAACCAACAAGTGTTGGTGCCAATGATTTGTTTCCATTATCGGGGAGCCCTCAAAACATGACTAGGCTTCCCACGAAGCTGGCCTTGTGACCCCATTCCCGACCCGTGTTTTGGATGCAGGAGTCATTCGTGGAGAAGTTTCAGCTTATGAAAAGCCACAGCAGATGGGCGTGTGTGTGTGTGTGTCTGTGTGTGTGTGTGTGCCAAAGGTTGGCTTTTTGGGGATGGGTTAAAGACAATTCCAAAACGAAACCCCCCATTTCGATTGTCCAAATTGCGAGTTTTGAGACAAGCACAAGGATCAATGGGATTCTGAACCAATAAATGGATGTGCACGGCGCAAGGGCCATGTCAATCCAAAGACCACGGGCCATGTTCTTCAAACTGGGATGCAACGCCGCGGTTTGTCTTTCAAGCCAAAACCCGGGTACCCTCAAAAGGAGACACATATATCACTGTAACAAGGAGTACATATTTGCTGTTCGTTGGGCTCGTGGGGCGGCCTCTTCAATCGTTGGCATCCAATGAACAAGATGTTCGGTTTAACTCTTTGATCCATGTTTGAAAAACTCTTGTACTTCCAGGTCTAAATCAGACCGACTCGTTTGATGACCTCAGCTCCAAAAAGTCTTCTAGCCAGGTAGCCATCCGCCCGTGAGCGGTCAGGCGGGACTTGGAACCAGTGAGGCAACTGGGGTCCTTCTGTCTCTTTTCGAAGCTCGGTACTTTTGTTGGGTGGTTTCAAGGGAAAACCACACGGAGACCACCGTTTTGCGCATTTGGAGGCAAACCTGTAGATTTCCTCTTATTGGGTGTGGCGACCAGAACAATAGGGTGTATAAGTCGTTTTGGGGTACTTGCATATCATCATTTGGCTGCCATGTCGATATGTCATATTTTGTTGGAGCCGATTTGCACCTCAAACAGAACTTCCACCCTCTCCCTCAAGAAACTAGTAGGGACTAGAACTCTAGTGCTGGCTGTTCCGTGTTGCTTTGCATCGTTTTGCTTGGCGCTCACTGTCGCAATCCGGGCGGGTCTTGGCTTTGTCGGGGCTACCACGCACCCATCACAGGGGTCCTTTTCAAAGGTTGGTTTGAAATAGCTGGGTTCCATTTGTTCAGATGTGTTTTATGTTGTCCATTTACCATTGAAGCCCATCCATGGCACCCATGTTTTCTGCCGTTCTGCTGGGCTCTCGACTTTGTGGCAAGCTCCAGGTAACCTTCCACGGCAACCTCGAGAAGGCCGATGGCTGGTCTTCGGATGGGGGTGAGTCAGGTAAGTAGAAGTGGTAACTCAGAAACGCATCTCCCCCAAGTAAGTTCAATAGCAGAGATACTAGCCACTTGCGAAGTACCCTGCCACTTGAAGTGTCAGGTTTTTCATTTGACCTGCAAAGTTGTACGCTAGGCCTCTCCACTCAGCGGGTGAACAACTTGGCTCTGACAGTTTTGTGTTGGAGTTTGGAGGCCATGCCGCAAACAGGTGTCAGGGAGCTGGTGAGAGATTCTGCGCCGATGTGGGGCGAGACACGAATTCTTGGATCAGCTTCCAGAGTAAACCTTCCAACATAGAATGGTGACTGGAGCCCCTTGGAAGACTGCTTTCTTGTTCAAAACTTTTGAGGGGGCTGCTGGTTGGGGGCAGTTGTGCAACCTCAAGATGAAGTCGCTGGCTTCGCGAGGTCGAGTTGGAAGCTTTACGGGAGGAGTTGCGCCCGAGCCTCGAGATGCATCCCGGTTTCGTCACTGTGAGGTTCCGTGGTTTGTTCCGCATGAGGCATGCTAGCCAGCGCATCTGGCAACTGACCTGGTTCACATTTAATTTGGTTTGTTGGTTTACTTGTTTGGTTTCAAGAGCGGGTGAGCAGAAAAAAATAGCAGTTGGCAAGGGGATGTGTTTGGCCTGGTTTCTTCCAAAAGGAACTGAAGAGTACAAGGTGAGCAAAGCCAGCAATCTCAAATCAACCAACAGTTATACTATATATAATAGACATATATATTTAAGGGCTGCCGCCCGGTGCCGCCGCCCCCGCGGGGTCACTGTCCCTTCGGGGTCTGTGGATGCTTTGGCTGGCTTTGGTAGGCTCTTGTTTCCGTTTTGGGCAGCGTTCCTTTGCCTTTTTGTTGGACTTTCCGGTATGTCGGCCTCTGAGGCAGACTGCGGGGTCTGCGGATATTCG